GGAGCATTGCTATAACAGCAATAGTCAATTTTCAAAAATATTATATCACCGTTTGCAATGAAGGACATATTTAACAAATTGATAATACAGAAAGATGTTTTACAAAGATAGGCTACTCTACCTCGTGGAAGCACGAACAAAAAGTAAAAACGATACTCGTAAGAAGATAAGAGGTGCAAGCAAAAAAATATCCTAGTTTTACTTTTCATCTATCCACCCCACCCCACCCCATATTATTATTATTATTATTATTATTATTATTATTATTATTATTATTATCACATTATTAAGAAGACACAACAATAATTGTTACTTAACCAATATCCTGAGGCGCGTGGAACGGAGAGAGTAGAGAAAACAGTAGAACTTATACATACTGTTTGTGGTGCTGAACTAATAATAATAATTCAAATAATAAAACATTAAATAGTTAAACCGTTATTAAATTTTTAATTATTGGTCATGTTGTAACTTCAGCCGTTGTCTTTCAAACCATTTAAATTATCGTAGCAAAAAGTATAAAAACTAACTTGTGTTTTTAATGAAAGTTAATCACTTGTAAATTATAAATGCTTGAAAATGTGTAGTTCAATGGTTTGATTGAATGTGTGTGGAATGGGAATTGAATATTTAACAAAACGAAAAAAAATATCTGATCTCAAGTTCAATTTAATGTTAAAGATGTCGCAATATTATAAATTTTGTAATGAATATTTAAGAAAGGTGATAAATTGAAACAAATATTTGTTTACAACGTCTAATGCAATTAAACGTTAACAAACGAGACAAAACGTTTGATTATTTAAATTTATGAGTTAGAGGTGATGCAAATTTAATTTTACGACCGTTTAGATCGGCACATATGCATGCAAATGGAGACGGCAGTAGAGTATTTGCTTAGAAGTTCTTTTAATTGGTAACCCATAAAGTTGACTAATTTCCAGTCTCTTGAATTTGACCAATGAGCCTATAACACGATGTCAATATAATTATCAAAAATGTCAATGTTGTTGTTGTCGTAGTTGTTAAGGACTAGTAACAAAAAATCCTTGTTTCCCATCCTGGGTTTTTCAAAAAGTTGGGGAGGGAGGCACTTATTATTTGATATTTGATATTTTTCACAGTTCGTCAAAATATGCCAAAGAATGTTCTCTGCATAGCAAAATGTGTTGTAAACAATTTGTCAATAGTTTTGTCATTGCTTTTCTCGCTTTTATCATGTTCTTTGGGTTTAAAAATGCATTTGTAAACTATAAAAATGTGCAATTGAATTTTTGCATTTTCGATGTAAAAAAAACCCTAAAATTTTGAAAATGACAAAAAACAAAAAAAAAATTGATGCTGGCCTAAAAAAATGGTGAGGGAGGGGACGGGAAACAAGGATATTTGGTTATTTGGCCTAACTGAATGCTTGGTTTGCTTAAATAATTACAAATTTTACAGGTTTGTGTAGACTAATTGTATATTAGGCCTTTATAACCTGTATTCCGAAACAGTGTGTTACTTGTATGTGAATATGAAATGTATCTGCTTTTAAAACATGTACTGTCTATAGTGTGGGTCAATTAACTTGAAATAATGAAATTCAATATTAGGTCACAATACTTGATATAATTTAAGTAATTTATTAGCTTTCATGTGAAAATTAAAACGAGAAGATATTTCCAAGTTGCGAACGTTAACGAAATTATTTAATCATTTTCAAATTAACATTGAGTTTTCAAATGTATTAATATTATTATTATGTCCTTGAATAACAGTGAAGAATATTATTCTAAAAAAGAAAAAAGAACAGATGATGATACAGGCGTTTCCCATGACTCATCTATTGTAGTGTATTCACTCTATGCTAACTACTTTACAAATATTTTTATATATTATTTCTGTCTTTTTTTCAGTGACAACAGGCAGCCTCGCATACCCTCTCTGAGATGTGGGTCTAATTACTTGACTTTCAAGATTTTCTTTACATTTGGAAAGCTTTTCCATCCACTAAACAATAAGCGTCATGTTGGCGGCTGTGTAGTACTGTGTTAGTATCCATTTAGGCTATAAGGAGACCGCGATATATTTGCTAAATATCAAAGAAAATCAAATTTCATCTCCATTTCATTTTTACCAATCAACCTTTTTAATTTGTTGACGGGAAGCAATAAATATACATAAATAAATCATTGTTATCAAAGAAATGAGATAAATATATTATTTTTATTATAATTATTGACATGACTGTAAACCTTTATTTCATGTAGATGATAATATTGTTACTTGTTCTTACTCTGATCTTGATTTTTTTTAAAAACTTGACAACACTTTAAACAACTGCATGAAATACAATGTTTTAACATTTTTATCGAAAGGGTTAAGCTGTGCTTCCAACACATTTTATTCTAGTTTTTGATTAAAATTATGATAATTATTATGATAATGATTTTAATTGTAAAAATGATTTTATCTATAGTTATTAAGTGCTTTCCGATTAATAATTTTAATGTTTCTGTTGCATCTGTTTCTCTTTCTAATTACTTGACTTTAAAGATTTATCCAGGTACTGCTGACCTGTTTTTTTCTGTTGTTTTGTTTTGTTTTGGTTTTTTTTTTTTGGTGGGGGGTGGGGAGGTTATTCTTTGTAT